AAACATAAAGAACTCAAGAAACTAGACATCAACAAACCAAATAATCCAATTTAAAATTGGGGTACAGATCTAAACAGGGAATTCTCAACAGAGGAACCACAAATGGCCAAGAAACGCCTACAGAAATGTTCAACATCCCCAGTCACCAGGGAAACGCAACTCAAAACAACGCTGAGATTCCGTCTAAACACCTGTCAGAATGGATAAGATCAGAAACACAAGAGAGAGCGCATGCTGGAGAGGGTGTGGAGCAAGGGGAACACTCCTCCATTGCCGGTGGGAGTGCAAACTCGGACAGCCACTGTGGAAGTCAGTATGGCGGTTCCTCAGAACAGTGAGGGAATCAATCTAATTTAAGATACAGCTATAACATTCCTGGGCATATAACCAAAGGATGTTCCACCGTTCCACAAGGACACTTGTTCAACTATGTTCATAATGGCTTTATTTATAATAGCCAGAAACTGGAAACAACCTAGATACCCTTCAACTGAAGAATGAATAAAAATAAAAGTGGTACATTTACACAATGGAGTATTATTACCCATTTCCAATGACATCATGAAATTTTCAGGCAAACAGATGGAACTAGAAAAGACCATTCTGAGTGAGGTAACCCAGACCCAGAAAGACAAACATGGTATGTACTCACTTGTAGGTGGATATTAACTGTAAAATAAAGGATAACCAGGCTACAATTCACAGGCCCAGAGAGGCTAGGTAACAAGGATGGCTCAAGGGGGAACACGTGAATCTCATTGCAAAGGAGAAGTAGAATAGACATTACAGGTCAAAGTGTGTAGAGGTCTAGATGGGGTGGGTGGGGATGGGAACATGAGAGTTTAGATGCTGGGAGGGTGGAGGGAGAGAGTACTGGGAGAGACAACTGGAATCTGGGGTCATCTCCAGGATGAGCTAGAAACCTAGAGCAATGGAAACTTCCAGGAATCTATGAGGGTAATCCTAGTTAAGACTCCTAACAATGGGGGGCATGAAGCCTGAACTGGCCATCTCCTGTAACCAGGCAAGACTTCCAGTGGAGGATGTGGGAACAAACCTTTTGACCTACAAGTTGTCCTGCCTACAAGATACATTGGGATAAAAAGGTGGTGCAGAAAAATGGGAGTGGCCAGTCAATGACTGGTCTAGCTTGAGACCCATACTATGAGGGAGAGCCCCCACCCTTGACAATGCCTGAAGGCTGGGACTCAGAGGCTGGGCATCCCAGAGACATAGGATAGAATGAGACATGACTAACAAAAGAAAAGAAAAAGTCAAAGACACGATTCCCAACAGATGCAGAGACCCACAGCCAAGCATTAGGCAGAACTAGGGAATCCTGTGGAAGAGGGGGAGGGGGGGAGGGATGACTAAGGGAGCCAGAGGGGCCAAGGACACCGTGGGAAAACACACAGAGTCTAATGACGTGGCTTCATCGGAGCTCCTGGAGACTGAACTTCCAACCAGAGAGCTTACGCGTGACTGACCTGGGCCTTCTGCACGTCTGTTACAGCTATGTAGCTTGGTCTTCTTGTGAGACTGCTAACAGCAGGAGCAGGGGTGTCTCTGACTCTGACTCTGTTACCTGCTTTTGGACTGTTTCCTCCCACTGGGTTGCCTCGTCCAGCCTCAGTAGGAGAGGAGGTGCCTAGTCTTGCTGAAGTTGTATACGCCATGGCTGGCTGATAGACCTTTCCTGAAGGGAAGGCAGAGGGAGCAGAGGAGGGGGTTTGGGGGAAAGGGGCTGGGAGGGGAGAGGGAAACTGCAATGGGGCTGGAGGAAATTAATTTAATTGGCGAATGAACAAAAACAGTCACTAAGTTTGGCCGTTTCTTAGGTCCTGTGGACTCTGATGGTCACAGCTCCACTTTTCTGAGCAAAACAAATCATTTCTGTCATCCCTGCCATCCGTATCTATCGGTGACAGAGCCTAAAGGTCTGGCCTTCGAGGGGATCAACTGCCGAGCAGAGCAGTTGCATTTCCAGGCCTCTCTGTACTTACACTTTAGTAGGGGAAGTAGATCTAGCCTATAAGTTTATGGAGAAACAGAGAAGGCTCATAGAGGCACGAACTGAGAATCTGAGCGCAGACTTCATGTAAGGAGAGGAAGGGTGTTTCGCAGTGAAGAGTTCAAGGCTGGGAGGCTCATCCAGGAAAAGGAAAGGGACAGACAGCTGCAGGACACAGAACACCATAGACTTGGGGAGAGAAAGGGTGAACTTCAAGGCGAAGCTACTGCAGGATGTGTCCAGGGGTTATGGTGTCGGCCAGAAGACGCTGGGGAGAAGAAGAAGGAGCACACAGCTGTAGGTGGGAACGCGACAGAAGGGACCCGCGTTGTGGACAGGCACAGGACTAGGCCATTTGGGGACATTAGTGGAGCCAGAGATCATAGAAGACAGAGATGGATTAGAAAGGGCGGCGCGATAATAACGGGCTCAGTTTGAGGCAGGCTAAGTTTAAGGCGCTCATGAGCCCGTCAAGAGGAGATGCCAAATGAGGTCCTGGGCTGGAGACTAAGACTCGGGATCAGTTGGACAGAAGTGAACTGACCTGGAGGAAGGGATGAGCTGGTCTTCCACTAGCAGAATCAAGTTCTGACACTTATTAGCAATGTCATCTTAGAAAGCCTTGATGTCACCTCCCTATTGTTACATTGATACATGGACGCTAATACCTCAGAGAGTCCCAGGATAGTTGTGTGGTAATGTTTGCAAATTGCTTAACCCACTCTCTGAAACATAATGGGATCTCTGTAAATGATGGCCATTACCAGCGATTCAGGGGCAGCTACTCTCTAAAACATCACAGCACAACAGAGAACCCAAGGATTCACAGCAATGTGCAGGAAGAGCTGGGGGAGAAGGGATTAAGAAGGAGCGGGACATCAAGGGAGAGAAGCCAGGGGCATCACAGCGACCAGGGCAAGAGAACATTTCAAGTGCCAGGTAGTTAGGACAGCCTACAAGACCACCAAGAGGGGAGGGAGAGCAGGTCCCCGAGTTAGCCACCAGATGGTCTCTGGTGTCCTTGGCATCATGCATTTCAGGGAAGTGAGGGCCAAAGCCAAGCTGCAGGGGTGTCGGAGTGATTGGAGACTCAGTGAAACTCAGCAGAGAATAAGACAGGAGAGGAGGCCAGAGCAACACAGGCTGTGCCTTAAGCACAGGTTTACATTTTTACTTCGTGTGTGTGTGTGTGTGTGTGTGTGTGTGTGTGTGTCTGTCTGTCTGTCTGTCTGTCTGTCTGTCTGTGCCTGTGCATGCATGTGTGTAGAGGTCAGAGGACAAGTGTGGAACCCATCCTCTCCTTCCTCCTACATGTGGACTTCAGGAAGGGAACTCAGGTCTCCAGACTCGCACAGCAAGTGCTTCACCCATTGAGCTATCTCACCAGTACCAAGCGAACATTTTAAAATTTGTAACTTAATTTTTGTGTGTATGCTCGTGTATGTGCAGTGTATGTGTGCGGGCATCCATGCCATGGTGTGTGTCTGGAGGTCAGAAGATGTTCCTGGGGCTACTTCTCCTTACATGGGTTTCAGGAACGGAATTCAGGTTGCCAGGCCAGTGCAGCAAACACCTTTATCTATTGAACTGGCTCGCCAGCCCCAAACAAATACTGCTAAAATAAAGAAAGAGTGTAGCATCTCTAACTGCTGATAGGAAGGGGGTGGGGGAGGAGGGGTCAGGGAAAGGAAGGGATGGGGAGGGGGCAAGGACTGAAGGGGAATGGCCCTGGCTGGGATGAGGGCAACAATCTCATAAGACAGGGAAAGGAGGTTGAAGACACAGGTGGGACAGAAATTTGGTGATCTGTTTTTCTCCATCAACTAGAAAATATGGCCGTTGGTTTTTTTCCGCCAAAGGACAGGAGTAGTCAGCAGAGAGTTAGCAGAAGCTGCTGACCAGGGAACCCAGCTGATCCCCAGACGGCTAATCATCTTCCTTGTCAGCTTCAACCTAACACAGCCTAATTCCAAAGACTGACCTTATGTGGGGAAGGCTAATGTGGTTATGGAGAAGTTCCAAGAAAGGGGGAGACAGGAAAAAAATATATATATATCAGCAGCCAGGAAGTAGGTGATGGGCAATGTCCTTCTGCATGCTGCCAATATACGCTAGTCTTGTTGGTTGATGAAGAAATGCTGACTGGCAGGAAGTTATAGGTGGGAGCTACCAGAGTAGGAGGACTCTGGGGAAGAGGACCGCAAGGAGGACTCTGGGGAAGAGGACCGCAAGGAGGAGATACTATGTAGCCACCAAAGGAGTAACACACTGTAGCATTGCGGGCAAGCCACAGCCTTGTGACAATACATAGCTTAACATAAATGGGTTAAATATAAAGTGAGGGCTAGCCAATAAGAAGCCTGAGCCATTGGCCAAACAGTTTGCAATTACTACAAGCCTCGATGTGTTTATTTGGGAGTAAACGGGCTACAGGACCAGGAGGACAGAAAGTCTGTCTTCAAATAGCAGACAACGTGGGGCAACTAAATCCACATAAATCCTGAGAGAGCTTTGGGAAGGGATTCTAACAGAAAAGTACAGAGGCAAGCACGCCTTCTTGGTAGCAGCATTTTCTCCAACAGGCTGTTTGCTAGAAGAAAGCAGAGGCTTGTGGCTTCCTGACTTATGGTGGGGATCAGAAGCTGAAGTCTTTGGTGAGGCCAGGGCAGGCTGTAGCTGGCGACCCTGGAGATGAGGGAAGACGGAACAATGTATGAAGCTGGTTTGAGGGGAGCAGGATGGGGCTGGCACAAGTGATGAGGGGGACAACGGCTTTGAGCATGCGGAGTAGACACGCCCCTCGGGCTCCTGGATTCTGTAGAGCTCCTGCAGAGGGTGGGATTCTGTTGGGTGGAGGGGGGCGGGGTGGTCACGTCAGGAGCTGGGGACAAGGATGGGGGCTGTTCTAACAATGAAGGAGGGCGATGGAAGGCAGAGTTCCACTGGGCAAGTTGTCACCTCTCTGTGTTGTTTTCCTCCCGTAAGAGTGTGAATTCTTCCCCAAGAAGAATGAAAAGATGGAGTTCCCCTTTGGGTCCGTGGGAACTACGAACTTCCGACGGTTCACTCCGGAGTCGCTGGCAGAGATCGAGAAGCAAATTGCTGCCCATCGTGCAGCCAAGAAGGCCAAGGCTAAGCACGGAGAGCAGAAGAACCAGGATGAGAAGCCCAGGCCGCAGCTAGACTTGAAAGCCTGCAACCAGCTTCCCAGGTTCTATGGTGAGCTCCCTGCAGAACTTGTCGGGGAGCCCCTGGAGGATCTAGACCCATTCTACAGCACACACCGGGTAAGAGCTGCCACTGGGAACAAACATGCTGTGTTCAACTCTTGGCCAGCAAGCCTCAGTCCCACCCAGCCCAGGAAGTCCTCAGCCCCAGGGGAAAGTAGCTGTTTACTAAAGAATAAGCTGACAAAAGCAAGTCAAACACTCCTCTCTCTGAATCTTTAAGAACTCTGTGATGGGGACAAAGGAAACCCAAACCCCCAAATCAGACAGCTGCTGCAGAACTTGCATGGAAAGTTGCTTGTTCCCATGGGTGAGATCTGGCCCAGGGCCTCCAGAGGTATTAGCTCTCTTTGCAGATCCAGTGGAGCTTTTGAAGTTGAGAGCCTTCTCTTACCTTAAGCCGGGGGTTCTCTAAAGTACTGTCTTAGAGCCCCTGGTGTCTTCCAGGCTCTCTCATGGATCACTGAAGCTAAACCTGTCTTTAATAATCGTTTGCTATCACTTGTCTTTCTTACAAAGTCTTGTGAGCAATATCAGCAACAGCCACTGAAGGGCGTGTCTGTGTGTTCCTGAGTTTAAGGTTTCTTCAGAACACAGTGCGTGAGCCCGGTGGTGTCAGCACACACCTTTAATCCCAGCACTTGGGAGGCAGAGGTAGGAGGATCTCTGTGAGTTGAGGCCAGCCTGGTCTGCAGAGCTACTCCCAGGACAGCCAAGACTGAAGTTGAGCTACACAGAGAAAGCCTGTTTCGAGGGGGGAAAAATACGGCATATGTCCTACTTTCCTTCCCTGTTGCTGTAATAAAATATGGTGACGTGAGCAGCTTAAGGGAGAAAAGATTTTACTAGCTCATCATTCCAGGCTACTCTCCATCATGGTAGTAAAGTCATGGCAGTGGGAGCTTGAGGGACTAGTTACATCATGTCTGTAGCATGAAGACAAGAGCAATGCATACGTGTTAGTGCTGTTTGCTTTCTCTGCTCTCACACAGTCCAGGATTCTGCCTGGGGATGGTACCACTCACACTGATGGGGTCTTCATGCTTTGATTAGCATGATAATCCCACCACAAGCAAACAGGTGAGCCTCATCTAGACCATCACTCATTGAGACCCTTCCTAAGGAATTCTAGGTTGTCAAGGTGACAACATTGACCATCACAGGATGTATACACACACATGCTCAGTATACATGTACATGTGAGTGTGTGTGTCAGTGTTCCTTTGCTGTAATAACTTATCATGAAAAATAACCTCAAAGGGAGACACACACAGACACATACACACAGACATTCATATACAGATACACTCACAGACACACACACACACACACACACACAGACATACACACACGATGAATTAAATACAACTGAGGTCAACCAGCTGCAGTCAGAATTCTCTCTCTCCTGGGCGTGCTGCGCACATCCTGCCCTTGAGTCAGCAGCCTGTCCATGAAGCACTCTGGGTGGGCCCTCCTTGGTACACGGTCAGCCACGGGGGCCAGATTCTCACAGAGTGAGGGTGTGGCCTCTGCTCCCTTGCCTTCTCTAACTCTCCGCACCTCTATACTAGAGGGTCCATGAGCCCTGCTTCTTCACACAGGTCTTGCTTAGGAGCCTACGAGGAAGCCACCCAGGGTCTTGCTACTCACCGCTGTCTACTTCTGCTTTTGTTGCAGACGTTCATGGTATTGAATAAGGGCAGGACCATTTCCAGATTCAGTGCTACTTGGGCCCTGTGGCTCTTCAGCCCCTTCAACCTGGTCAGAAGAACAGCCATCAAAGTGTCTGTCCACTCGTATCCTTTGCACAGTTGCATCCCTGTGTTTAGACTCAGGCTCTGCCCAAGCTGCCTTTCTTAGAGGTTAGCAGGAGAGCCTTCCTCCAATCAAATCCTGAGACAGTGACGTCATCACACTGAAAACATTGTGTGTGTGTGAGTGTGTGTTTTAAATTTATCTCATCTGTGTTGTGCGTCTGTGCATACCTGTGTGTGCACAGGGTGCCTGTAGAAGCCAGGAAAGAGCATCCGATCCCTCAAAGCTGAGGTTACAGATGTTTGCGAGCCACCTGATATGGGCCTTGAACTCCAGACTCCAGCCCTCTGATAGAGCAGTAAGTCAACCTCCGTTTATGATTTTGGTGTTCCCAAGAACCCCCTAAATAGTCTCAAGACAGAAGAAATGTTCACACAGGCCAGTGTGGCTCAGGGTCACTGTCAACTCACCTGGACACAGCTGTGGAAAAACAACATGAAAATTTCTTTCTTGCTAAGCTCAGCTGACACAGTGCCCTCCTAACACACTTGAAGTCCTAAGTTCAGTCCCCAGGACTCTATAAACCATGTATGACGGTGCATGGCTCTAAGCCCAGTGATCAGTATCAAACTGTTTTGCCTGCACGTATGTGTGAGGATGCCAGATTCCCTGGAACTCCTTAGACAGTTGTGAGCTGCTATGTTGGTGCTGGGTATTGAACCCAGGTCCTCTGAGAGGCTTAACCACTGAACAATATCTCCAGCCCCTACCCAATGTCCTCTTTATGGGGCACAGACTTACCATCAAACATGGGTTTCCCCAGGATGTAAGGTGAGAAGACATCGGGCTCTTTTGGGCCAGATGCACAGGCATGAGTTTTTACACCGTCCTTGGCCATGCTGGGGGTGATTGCTCATTACACAATAGAGAAATGCACAAACTGTCCTCCGAGGACCCCAGTTGAATTACTGGGGTTAGTAACAGCTAATTAGAAATGAAGTTTCTGTCAATAGCCATGTGACCATTGAGCAGTCTCTCTGCCTTGAAATTGGATGAATCACCAGTTCCTGGCAGAGCCACAGCTGCACAGAAAGTCTGTCGAGGGGCCGCCTCCTCACAAAGCGTCACAGATATACTTAATTTCAATCAGTTTGGTTACTGTAGCCCCAAGCAGGATTCAATCAAGATTATAATTCCAATCACACTTTTGTGAATGCCTTCATAGACATGTGATATCACACAACTTATAAAGGTTTTACAGAACAGAAGGTATAATTCAAACTTCCATCCTTGTGTTAAGTTTCCCCCACATTTCTTAATTGTAAATCAGCAGGAATGTGTGGTTTCGCTAGTAGAATTTCCCTATTCAGATAGATGCTTTCTCAAGTAAATGTAAAACAAAAACATGAAAGGTATTACAGAAAAGAACCATCCTCACCTCATAGGCAAAGCTCCTCTCTGAGACAGATGTCTTTCTTGTGGAAGGGCCTGTCAGAGCTCATCCAGTACTGAGGAGAAGTCCACTGAGGAGAGGTCTGCTTTGGGATGCTCTCTACCTCTGTTTGCTTATTCCCATGTGCTCATCTTCCTTTCAAAGCCACCCTCCCCTTCTGAGTATCCCTTAGCCAAATCTCTGCTCCTCAGAGTCTCTCTCTGCATAGTAACATCTCATTCCCCTTGGAATATCTTCCCAGAGCTGGTATTTTCCTTCCTATGCCTGCCTTGGCCATCCCTACCCAGAATCCATTGCTTCAACGTGGTTGAGCCCAGCTTAGGAAAACAATCTAACTAAACCATTTTCATAAAAAGTAATAACCTCCACCTGGTAACTATGGTTACCAGGCTTCATGAGGTGGCGTGATTCAGAAAGGCTATTTAAGACTTGTCATGCTGTTTGCTCAGATCCTAGATGTAAAGGATAAAAGCTACCCATAGGTTAGTATTTAGCACTGTGAGCAGGATTTGGAAATTTGGCTCTGTGGTGAAGTCTAGTACAAGGCCCTGGGTTCGATATCTAATGCCCTCATTATTGCCATTACAACTGCCTCTACGAATTATGATAAAGATAGAGTTCTCAGATGGGCCAGGCTCTCAGATGTGAGCAGCAACTGGATGACAAGATCCTTAAGCTGATATTAGCTGAGTCATGAACTTCTCATTCGGTAGCAAGGTAATCCGACATGGGGGTTGGGTCGGATGGAGACTATCACTTGTCCTTAACATGCTCTCAAAGCTGGTTCTCCATATTTATTACCGTCACTATTCTGTTCAACTGTGTGTGCATGACCCAAAGCGATCTTCCGGAGAAAATCGAGTGAGTAAAATTGCCAGCATTCTTGTGCCTTTTATCTCGTCTTCTCTTTCTTAGCAGCCTTGTTTATGTGTTTGTCAAGCCAGTTTATATTGGGATAAGTCTGAATTCTGGTCCCTGTTTGACTTTGCCATGGTCAGTTTTGAACTTCAAGACTGTGTAGACTGGTGGTTCTCAACCTTGACTAGACCCACAGTAGAACTTTATGGAAACTCTAATGCCTGGAAGGGCGGATGTCTTTAGACTTCAGTACTCTGGGCAGGGGAGTCCTCCTGGACACACACACACACACACACACACACACACACACACACACACACGCACGCACGCTTGCATGCAAGCTCCTGCTAAGTGTGTGAGAATGAAGTTCTGAGAAGGCCTACCCCTGGAGAGTTGGGGGCAAATAAGAAAGAACTATAAACAGTGGCTCTGGGACATGGTCGCAGAACAGTCATGGCTGCAGATGTGTAAGTAGTCCCAGCTCAGACGGCAGCGTTTCTAGGGTGCCTGTGTCTCCGGTTGGCACATGAAATCTAATGTTTGAGAACAGAGGAATTTTCTGAAAACAGATGTGGCATCCACTGGGGTAGGTGTCCCTGCCCTTGCTTGAGGCTTCAGATGCAACAGCAGGGTCTCCGGAAAGCTTTCTTCCTTCCCAACATTCATTCTTGCTGACTTTAATAGTGACACATGTCACAGAATGATTCCCCATCTCTGTTAGGGAGGGTACATTTTAACCGACGCGGGAAACTCCATCTGATAAAGTTAAATTTCTGTATATGATTTCAAAACTCTTAGAAAAGTGGAACAGAAAGGAATTGTTATCCTCTGATTTAAAAAAGTATTAATTCTTTAAAAAGCAGTATCCTCCAAAAGGGGTGTTCGTTTATCAAATGTATCGTGAGCATGGGAATCTCTCTCTCACTTTGAGATCAGAGAGGGAAAATAAATATCAGAGATGCCCAGTCTCATCCATTCAGCTTCTCAGAGGAGGTTCTGAGTAGGAAGGCAATGCAGTAAGGTAAGAATTTAAAAAAAGAAAAAGTTCATGGAAATAACTAACATGTTGCATCTTTCAGAAAATGGTGTGTAGTGCATAAAATAAACAACATAACCTAGAGAGACTGTTAGAGTTAAAGGCTGGCCCAGCCGCTGAGAACACTTGCTATGCTTACGGAGGACTGGGGTTGAATTCCCAGCACTCACACTGGGCAGCTCACAACTGCCTACTGTTTGTGCTGATAGAGGGCTGCTCTATGGGATCCAAAACCCTCTTCTGGCCTCCATGAAAACCCGCCCTCCTGTGCATTTGAACACACATGCATACACATGAATATTTACTAAAATAGGTCTTTAAAAATCTTCTAGGATTAACAAGACTGTACATCAAGATAGTTGTATAAATTAATATACATTAATCAGTTATTATGTACACAGCAGCACACTGAAAGCTGAAAATAAACTAATTTTTGAAGTATCGTTTACACTGGCATTTCAAAATATCAAGCTTCTAGAAATAAAAATATCAAAGCAGTGAGTAAATTACAGAAACAGCCCCAATAAATGGGGAGATAATGCTATGTTGCTAGACTCTATGTCTCAATATTGCAGAAATGTACAGATGAATAATCAAGTTAGTGTTATTCCCAATCAGTCTCAACAAGCATTTAGACTCTGAAATGTATGTGGAAACAGAAAGAGTAAATTATAGCCAAGGCATTATTGAGAGAGGAAAACAAAGGAGGAGAAATTGCCCCATTGGGGTCAAATTGCTGACAAAGCCATTGCTGTGAGGCTAGCCACGCTCTAAGCGGACAGACCAGTGTGTGTGTGTGTGTGTGTGTGTGTGTGTGTGTGTGTGTGGTGTGCGATGTGGTATGTGTGTGTGCATGCACACACACACATGCACTCGCACGTGTAATCATTTAATTTGTGATGAAGGTGGCTCCACAGAAAAGCAGGGAAGATCAGACTGTGGGAAGGGTGTGGAGAGTCAGCCCGTCTAACTTAACAAACGACAGAGCTAACTGCATATCACACAACAGAGTTAGTTCTGTGTGTATTAGCCCCTAACTACAAAGGGGTAAAGCTTTCAGAAGGGAAAGAAACACCAGAGGAAAGCCCGTATGACCTCAGGAGAGGGGACGCTTCATTACAGATGACTCAAGGGACACCATGCAGAGGGGAGAGCGGACACACTGGTAAACCAAGAACTTTCGCTCACCCCATGACTATTTGAGATCTATTGAAGATGTGTGCATGGTATGCTGGTACCATGCCCACGGAGGCCGGAAGAGGGGATAGGGTCCCCTGGAGGGGACATTTCAGATGGCTCTGAGCTGCCTGCTGAGGGTGCTGAGGATCAAGTCCAGGGATACTGTAAGAGGAGCAGCACATGCTTGTGACCGCTGAGCCATCTCTCCAGCCCCTGGAAGATAACTCTCGGGAGAATAAAGACACCTGTGCTAAGAAGAGCTCACACCAGAGCCATGAACCCCTCTCCAAAAAAAAAATCAAATTATAAAACACGACAGCCTGCTGGGTGGCTGGTGGTGGCACACACCTTTAATCCCAGTACTTGGATAGCAGGTGGATCTTTGTGAGTTCAAGGCTAGCCTGGTCTACAGAGCAAGTGCCAGGACAGCCAGGGCCACACAGAGAAACTGTCTCAAAAAACAAAAACAAAACAAAAAACCTAAAATAAATAAATACATAAATACATAAATAAATGGCAGCCCAATCCATTTTAGAGTCAGATAAAAATTTGAATAGGCAGAATCCCCAGTGGTCTATTAACTCATGAAAGTTCCTAATTTTTTTTCCCAAGGAGGGCAAACTTAAAATCACCGTGGGAGATGACTAGGCACTCAGCATATAAGGAAAAGGCTTGAATGGCAACCATCCAAGTGTCTGGAAAGATATGAAGTACTGAAATGCTGGTGGTGGGCAGTGTGTGGACTTGGAAAACTTTTGATGGCACTGGGTATGAATAAAGAGAAAGATGCATGTACACCGTGCTCTTCTGTTATGCTCGGATGCCCACACACAGCTCGATCACTACCAAAACCCAGCTTTGGAAGCCTGTGGGCACTACCTACAGCGATGTAGAAATAACTCAAACGTCCCCAGCTGTTCAGTGAGTTGTTTGTCATATTCTTAACTGGATAATTTATAACAATGACTGTAGATAAGTCATGGGTCCATATGAGAACAGGAGTGTTGACCGAAATGAAAGGATTCCATAACTATGGCTGGTTCCATTTACACAAACTTTGAAGGCAATTTCACTTAGGACCTGATGTAGTTCATTTCCTCTTGCTATAACAAAATGCTTGAGGGTCAGCAATTTGCAAGTCATATCTATTGACGCGTACTTTTGGGGAATGGGGAATCCAAGAGCATGTTGCCAGTACCTGAATGGCCTCTGGTAAGGGCCACCCAGCAGTGTTACAGCAAAACAGTAACCATGGTAGCCCAGTTCTGTCTCCTTGAAAAGCCACAACAAAGGCCTCCTCCCAAGACCTCATCCAATCCTAATTACCTCTCAGAGACCCACCTCGAAAATAGATGAACAAGGAGGTTTGTTAGTGTTAAAAGACACTTGCTGCCCAGCCTGATCAGAGTCAGTCCCTGGGACAAGCATGGTAGAAAGCGAGACCTGACCTGTCTTTAGCATCCACTCAGTTAGGACATTCATGCATGTGTGTGTACACACACAAAAGCTAGCAAATAAATATGTAAGAAAGGCTTTAAACTCTATGAGCTGGGAAATTAAGTCTGCAAAGTATGTTTTGCTTTGTTTTGAGACAGGGTCTCATGAAGCTCAGGCAGGCTGGCTTTGAATTTGCAATGTACCTCAAGTTAGCCTTGAACTCCTCATCCTCCTGGCCCCACCCCTCAAACTCTTGGGTCTGTGCTGGACTCGCAGACATCTGGCACCCCTACCTGGTCTAAACGTGCATTTTGAGGAGGCACATTCAAACTGCAGCATAATAGGAGTTAAAAATAGAAGTGAAATAAACCGTGAAAACGCAAAAATGTGGAGAGGAGCCCTGAGACGGGAGGATGTAATCAGGGCAGGGACTGCAAAGAGTCAAGGCATTCCATTTGGGGACATGGTCAGCTGTCACACAGAACTGTGCCCTTTCCCCAAATGCATAGGTTGGAGCCCTGACCTTTTGTGCTGGGTTGTTGGAAATGGGAGCCTTCAAGGTGATGGGTAAATGAAGTCACCAGGGTTAGTGTTAGTGTAGCAAATAGGACTTGTTTGCTCTACAAGGAAGAAAAGCCCAATTTCTCTCCAGTCCCTGTGAGGACGCAGAAGAAGACAGCTACTTACAGTGCAAGAAGGGGACCTTTTCCAGCCCCTCACCCCGCCACGACCTTCCTTGTTCAGCCTCCCAAATCATGAGGGAATTAATTTCTGTTGTTCAAGCCACCCAGCTGATGGCATTGACTTACTGTTAGACCGACAACCAGCGAAGCCTTCACTTGACAGCGATTACGTTACTGTCCATGAACTGCATGTTCCTGGTGAGATGCTTTAAAGACAACAATTTGCAATCCTGAAGACTGATCATAAGCCTGTAATCTCAGCACTTGGGAGGCTGAGGCAGGAGGATAATGACAAGTCCAAGGCAAGTTTGGTCTGTGTAGGGAGTTCCAAGCCAGCTTGGGCTAGAGTGGGATTCCATCTCAAGACAAAAATAAAATAACAGCAATAACAATAACAATTAAAAACGAGTGAGGACTGCATAAAATGGCAAATGCGAAAAAATACAAACCGGAATATAATGCCTAGGTGAACTATTAAACCCATATTATTTTATACGCTGAGATGATATTGCATATAGACTTGTCTGTCGTTCAAGGACTTCTAAGCATTTGTCTGCTCAGTGTGAGTCATTCGGGAGTCACCTGGGGACTGTGGTTAAACACGGAAGTCAGGATGCGTAAGTTTTACCCTTTCTCTCAAAATGCGGGTACAATGACATAGGAACAGC